GCCTTTGCAGCCACGCATTGAAGCTAACAGATGTGTAGGCTCTGTTCTCTTTCGTCGCTGCCCATCTCGTGCGTTCACTTGCCAAGTACGCTGCTGGCTCTGGTATATCCGAGATCAAATGCATCATTGGCGGCTTCATTATGAAAGGCTTCCTGGGTTTCTGGACGTTCCTGATTAAGAGCGTGACACTAGTTCGTGGTTTCCCTGCTCTACTCATGCAAGTGCTCATCTCTACGTAGCCGCTAGTCATTGCGTCTGGCCTGTCAGTAGGCAAGGAGGGACCGTCAGTTCACGTCGCATGCTGCATCGGGAACTTGATAGCGAGTCTCTTCAAGAGATTCTCCAGAAGCCAAGGTATGCGTAGACATCGTGTAATCATCCCGAAATACTTCTCATACAAAGTACGTTCAGGTAAAATGAGAGAGATATTGACAGCCTCGAGTGCTGCAGGCGTAGCTGTGGCTTTCGGTTCGCCCATTGGCGGTGTGCTCTTCTCAATTGAGGTGAACCAAATCTGTTACCAGAGGTTAACTCATAAATCTCTGACGTCGTTCCCCGTAGGAAATGAGCAGCGTCTTCAGTATCAGGACAATGTGGAGAAGCTTCTTCTGCGCCTTGGTCGCAACAGTGACTCTATCTGTGCGTTAATTCGCTGCTCTTTTGCTATGCACGGGTTGGCTGATTCGTCATCAGGCGATGAACCCGTACCGAAGCGGCAAGCTGGTACTTTTCCAGGTCACATACGACAGAGATTGGCATTTCTTCGAGATCATTTTCTTCATCATCCTTGGCCTCTTCGGGGTAGGTATCCCACTCGTGATCATCAAGCCACGAAACTGATGACTTGAGAAGGGGCTATATGGCGCTTTCGTTATCAAGTTTAACCTGAAGGTCGCCGAATTCCGCCGCAGGTACCTAGGCAATCACGCAATAGCGGAAGCTGTCACATTAGCAGTCCTGACGGCAATGATTGGGTGGTTTAACCACTTCATGCGAATCGACATGACGGAGAGCATGGAAATTCTTTTCCGCGAATGCGACGGCGCGAGTGACTATGACCACTTATGCCAGTAAGCGGCTTTGTTGTGCGCACGAAGCTGAGCGTTCTTACGTCTCATATAGGACACCCTACCAGTGGCCGATGGTCAACTCTCTCTTCTTGGCTACGGCCGCGCGGACGGCTTTGGTCGTCATATCATACGGCTGCAAAGTACCTGCCGGTATCTTCGTCCCGTCCATGGCCATTGGCGCGACCTTCGGGCGAATGTTAGGGATCATGGTCAAGGCGATCAACCGGTGCGTCATAACGAACATGAATGTATACGCGTGACTGACGTAGCACAGCGCATATCCCACCTCGGGCATCTTTGCTGTGTGTCAACCGGACGTCCCATGCATCACTCCAGGAACCTATGCATTATTGGGTGCTGCTGCGGCTCTGAGGTATATCTTCTCGCTTGCACTCAGCATCAACTCTTCTTGACGAGCTACATCTGCAGTGGTATCATGAGACTTACGGTCACTGTTGTCGTGATCATGTTCGAACTTACCGGGGCGCTGACATACATCTTGCCAACCATGGTGCGTTGTGGTCACAATTCCACCTGAGCTCATATCTCATTACTACCACAGATAGTGCTGCTGGTGACGAAAGCTGTCGGTGACTTCCTCGGCACGACCGGCATAGCGGATGAGATGATACGCTTCAATGGCTATCCCTTCCTCGAGAAAGACGATCACGCATACAACGTGTCGGGTTGGTCGCAGCGTTGTGCGAATAGTCAAGGCTGCCGTACTCACCCGTATACAGTATCTAGGGTTATGCGAACTGATCTCACGGTGCTACCAGTGACTGGCATCACCGTCAAAGACATCGGTTCGTACTTCGCCGCATTTTACCTCCGCACGATCGCTGACGCCTCATGTTGCAGAGAAAATCCTTGCTAGTACCGTTGTAAAGGGGTTCCCAATAGTTTCCGCAGACGGCAAGCGGACACTCATGGGCTTCATTGATCGTACCGAGATCCAATACGTGCTAGGTGGGTCGTTCAGCAGCTGCATCTGCTTGTGGTCTGACTCGTCCGTAGAGAATGCACAGAAGGTGCAGGACGTGCGCCCAGATACCCCAATATCCTTTGCACCCGACTCCGACGACAACGAAGTAGTAGACTTCTCCGAGATCACTACAGGTCCTGCGGTCGGACTAGATGAGGACATATCTATGGATATCATGGAGTCGACGGCTACGGAGGATGTCCTCAAGTTGTGGCCGTGGGTCAATCAAGTACGTCCATTTCACGCATTCCTTTGTATTTCCTCCGATGCGACCGACATGATTACAGACACCGCTCACTGTGTCCCCGCAACTCCCTCTCGAGATCGCGATGCAAATGTTTAAACGAATGGGGTAAGCGTCATGCGGGTGCCAGCGTGGGTTTCATTGCTTACCCACCTTCACAGTCCGCGCGTGATCCTAGTCGAGAATCACGGCACTCTAGTGGGCCTGGTAACAGTCAAAGACGTCCTGCGGTTCACGATGACCGAGCATGATGATAGGCATTCTCCGTGGAACGAGCATCGATTCGACGGGGTGGTTGACGAGGCTTGGTTATGGGGTAATGACGTCCTGGATCGAGCATGGACATGGTGCCGGCGACGGCTAGGGAGGTCGTAATTTATTCGTACAGTCATATTCTACATCACAGGTCGTGAGGGTCATCTACTCATAATACATTCGAGGCTGGCGAATACTCGCAGCCGTACATCTGCTAGACATCAGATATCATTTAGATTGGGGTGCGAGGTTCTCATGTCAGGACCTCCTGAATGGTCAGAAGATTATCACTGTCAGTCCCCATCCGAATGGTATGGGGAAGTGCTTCACGGCGTGAAAGTCGTCAAGTTATTGGAAGGCAGGTGGGCTTGGGGCAGCGTGGATGCCCTCGACGGGATCTCCATGCTTCTGAAGTCCCTCTGCCGACGGCCCCCAGCACTGCCCGGGGTAGCTTGCTGTCCCCAGGCTGGGCTTGGGCGATAACGCCCTGGCCCAGTAGCATGGGCGTTGCCTGCGTGACGACTGCCGGTGCTCGAGATTGACACTGGCGAGCACGACGTCGGTGACTCCATCACGGGTGGCAACTCGGTCGCAGACCGGATGCCTGTGGAGGGACGGGAGCCTGAGCCCCGGTTTCGGTGGCTTAGTGAGGACGGAGTTCCCGAGGGTGTTGATTTCCACCCGCCAATCGCTGCGAGATGGCTTGTGAGGACCCAACACATATGAACCATACGGATGGACGGAGGCTTACAAGGGGAGAAGGACGTCAACGGGGCGCCCATATGTAGCGAGCTGGCTGCATTCAACTGCGGTCAGCTCGACACGACGATGTATGCGGAGAAGAGATTGGTTACCAGGTGTCCAAGGGGATCCGCTTCGGTCCGGACTGTCACGTACTCGCGTTGAAGGCGTCATGACCCGGGGACGCGGTGACTGACGAGGCCCGAGAACCAAATCGAGGGCATTGTGGGAAGGGCTTGGTGTCCAAGCAATGGGGGCTGCTCGCGTCTGCACTGATGATACCCTCCCATTAGAACGTAGCGTAGGGAAGCTTGCACCCGTCGCTCACCTGTTTGTAATGGGGGCTCTGGTTCATATACCGACGTCAAGCTCGAGAATGTTGGATGAATCTGTTTTGATGTGTGGGGACGACTGACAGGCGAAACATACGACCCTTGCATTGGTGATCGTACGTTCCGCCTTGAGCTACGAGCCTGCTGTGTAGTTAATGATGCATTCCACGCAGCATGTCTTTCCTGAAGCATGACTGTGAGCACGCTCGCTCAGGCGTAACCGAAGCCGATAGATGAGCCCATACCTTCACTATGACTAGCAAGTTATTGGCGTCGCGCCGGTACTCCTTCGCCCGACTCACGGCCTCTCTTTGGGCCGCATGCGGATGATGGTAATCGGAGAAAGGCCTGAACATCTGCCGTTGCTCTTCGAGCCTAACACAGACCGACGTTGGGGGGAATATCCTCTGCGACACCTGAAGAAGGCACGTACCTGAACAGCTCGTTCTCAAACCCCCGCCAAGTATCGTGTGACAACGAGCGCTGGAAGGCGTTGAAGAGTTTGCGTGCCTCTGCGAGGGCAACGTTGCCTTCATGCAGCCGGCTCTGGTATAACAGTTTGCGAAAATGTCGCGGTCTGATCTCCTCGAAGAATCTACACGAGAAGATTGACCTGGGGAGGATGCCGCAACAGCATCGAGACGCCTGCGTCGAAGATGCTGTGTCTGATCTACAGTGCATGGCAAGCAGATAGGGGGAGGGAGTCAGATATGAACGTGGGCGAAACACTGCGGCGGGATGACCACCTATTCCTGCCTTTTTGACCACCCGGGATTTCGCGAGGCCAGGTACGACTCTCCTGGCCGAGTGTTGAAGTACAGTACGTAGGAGTACGTAGGTCGCGAAGATCAGCATAGAGACGTTGTTGTCCTTGCGCACGATAATATCAACTGGCTAGAACAAGAGGTCCTAGCCGACGCTACGCGTACTTCTGCTTCCCAGTCACAGAGCACCAACTGCTATCAGCGGTAAGTATACGTACCATAGGCTAGCAAACCGTGAGCCTGCAAGGTACCGAGATGACCTATCACAATAGATGCGATTCGCAATGTCGCTGTCAGTGGGTAGCAGTCCATCTTGTGAGTATTGGCCTTAGCCAAAAAAGCACGCAGTCGATCTAGCGCATCTGTGTGTGTCTGTGAGTGCATGATGAACCAGAGCTATGGGCTGATTTTTAACAATCAGTTGTGAACATACATGTGAGCAACGAACATAGCGTTGTTCTTGCGGTTTCAGGGCCCCCTTTTGTTCTTGTCGTGTGGTACATGCCGGCGCAATCGGTGCATGGAACGATGGGCAAAGTTAGGTACCATCGCCACTTTCCGTATCACCCGCCGCCTACATGATAACGGAGTGGAGTGAACAAAAAGATGCGACACCAGCAGGATTTGAACCTGCGCTCGGAGACCGAAACAGATGTTCAATCACGCTTTAACGTGTTCGAATCTGTCGCCTTAACCACTCGGCCATAGTGTCTTGGACGTCTCGCCGCTGAACTGTACCTGGTCTCTTATTGGCTCATTGTGTACTAAATACTCCATGATCTCTCATCCCTTCTAGATATCCATACAAGTAGATTCCCGGTTCTATAGTATATCACAACTTCTTGGGGAGACCATCTTCAGCCAGCAACGCTTCCTCCGCAGCGAGGGTCCTAGGACCGTCTCCAACGCGCGTATGGATGAGACCCTTAACCGCACCAACAGGGAATGGTTTAGCAACGGCCTCGTTGAAGCCTTCAATGACCTTCCCTTGAACGCCCTGCGTACCGAAGAGGCCAAAGGGATCCTTGAAGGCCTCCGCCTGGGGGAAATATTTGACAATTAGCTCGACGATCTCCTTGATATTCTCCTTAGGGGCGTAAATGACCGCGTTCGGGCCAGCGTCGTAAGTGTACGCGGCCTTCAACTTCCCGCCGTTTGCCACCGCGATGCGGTTGTACTCGACGATGAGCGCGATGATAGCACGCGAGACGTCGTTCATGTAGAAAATAGGGGGATCGGTATCAAGTGCGACGGCGTGGAATTGGTTGGAGTCCTGCATTGTGATACGCGCGAACGTGTCGAAGTCGCGAGCGAGGATCGCCTCGGAGATCTTCTGCATGCGCTCCGGGACGACGTGCTTGATACGGTGCTGGAGGAGAGTGGAGGTCTCGACCGTACGTTGCATGCCGGACGTAGAGGATGTGCCCTTTTTGTCATCGCTAACAACACAGATGAGGGCGTGGATGTCGGGCCAGTGCTCGCGCGGGGCGACTTGTACGGCATAGGAGTCGGAGCCGTCGGCCTTTTCACCCATCTGCCACGCGACAAACCCGCCAAAGAGCGAACGGCATGCAGACCCTGAGCCTTGACGCGCGATAAGGGAGAGTCGAGAGGCGTCCGTAGGGAGCTGATACAGCGCTGCGAGAGACGCGACGAGAGCAGCAAAGCCAGATGCGGAGGACGCAAGGCCAGCAGCGGTGGGGAAGTTGTTGCGTGAGCTAATGTGCACGGGGTATCCAGAGATCTACGCGCGGCCAAGTCAGCAAATGTGCACCTACGTAGCTCTTTGGGACCTACCTTGCGCAGACTGGCATCCCGTTCCTCCAATTGCCTCCGGAGGCCTCTCATCTCTTTGATGCACGTCGCCAATCGACCGCCTTCCTTGATCTCTTCCTCCTCGCCATTGAGCCAAAGCCTATCCTTCTTGAAGGAGGGATCGGCCCGCGACGTTGTAGTGGACCGAAGATGATCCTGGTCAAGGGTGACGGAGAGCGATGAGTTGGTGGGGAGGATGAGCTTTGTATCGCGTTTGCCCCAGTATCTAGATTGAGGGTCAGTCGCGCGCGATCTATGTAGATTGTAGAACTGACTTTATGCAAGCGATGTTGACAGGAGCAGAAGCAGTTGCCTGGTATACAGTCATGATGATGCACTAAGGAGGTCGATGAGGGCCGTAGAGGATATAGGCCGATATAAGTAGAGAAGAGAGGGCCATAGCACGATGTCCTGAAATCTGAAATCGTACGGGGCGGCTCGTTTAATAGATCAGTTTCCTTTCCGAGCGACCGGAGATGATCTCGCAATCAACGCGAAGCGATCTCGAACAGCAGATGTACGAACACAAGCACTGCGTCCGGGCAGAGCAACGGACGTTGGCCGACGCTCTGTATGCCCGGTGCAAAAATGCACTCAGATCGTCTACCCCTTCATCGCCAGTGAAATATTGGTTTCTGAGTCAGCTCGCTGCATTTTCACAAAGGAACTTTGCAACTCCCGAGGGAGAGCGTCTGAGTGGCGCGAGAGAATCTACCATATAAGGGCGGGAAAGAGCTGCTTAGTCATCCGAGGGCGTCCACGAGAGCTGTGCTCGTCATCCTCGACAGTGACAAACACTCCACGCTCGCTGTTCTTCACGACGACCACGACGATCCAGACGACTTCTCTCTTCTCTCCCTGTTTTCATAGTCGTTCTCTCTCCCTCTTTCCCTTCCCTGCTCCCCCCTCCGTCTTTCCAGAGTGGCGACTCTCACCGCCAATGCCATGTACTATCCTCAACAATCCCCGGGCATTGCCCACAAGCTCCCCACCCATCAGCATCCCGGTCAGGTCCACGACCAATCGCCATGGGCACGGCACCCCGCATATGGCCCTGCGAACGGTACGCAACCCCCAACGTCGCCTGCGTACCCCCTGTTTGCCCATGCGAACGGGACAATGACTGCGATGCAACACCACACACATCAACATATCCCCGGTCCCCTCGCACACCACCATCACCAGAACTCCTTGACACATGCACACTTCCCCTCACCTCCCAACGGTAATGTGTTGCAAGGTCCGCATGGCGCCCTTGGACAGAATGGTTCGCCTGGGACGATCACAGCCCAGATGATGACCCCCCACTGGCAGCAGCAATTGCTCAAGTGCGAGGTACGTCTCATTCTCCACACACTATTCTCCGTGTTTTCTTGGGTATGGTCAGGGAGACACTGGTCAGACGACAGTGCCTCCCAGGATGACTTTCAGCACTTTCTCGCTCCTACCCCTTTTCACCTATCGTCCCGATTCTCACACATCTCGCATATTTCCCGCAGATGGTACGTGCGTCCAGATCCCCGCATCATCGAGCAAGAGCTAGTGCGATGGCGGCCCGCACTGTTCACAAGGCGGCGATACCTATCCAGAACCCCAACGCGATCAAACCAGTTGAGACGAATGGCACGACCAATGATGCGGATGGTTCCCCTTCCACCAAATCGCAAGTGCCGTCGGACGCTTCCCCTACTGCTGCAAGTGCGGCTGCCGATCATCCCTCCTCCACCGTCCCTCCCGTCGCTGAAATCACTCGGCCCACCACTCGCAAACCTCCCGCGAACACTTGGCAATCGCTCGATATGGGCGGGGTTGGCATCAAGAACATCCCGCACACATCCGGCCTCTTCGCCTTCACCTTCCTCACTACCCTGTATCTCAACCACAACGCCTTGCAGACCATACCACCCGAGATCTCGAAGCTGCGACATCTGGAGCTGCTTGATCTGTCGGGCAATGCACTCTCCTCGCTTCCTCCGGAGTTGGGCATGTTGACTTCGCTGAAGGAGCTTTACCTCTTCGACAATCAGCTCACAACACTTCCTCCTCAATTGGGTACATTGCATCAATTGCAAACCCTCGGCATTGAGGGCAACCCGATCGAACCATCGCTCAAGCTGATTGTTCAGAAGGATGGCACTCCCGCGCTTGTCTCCTTTTTGCGCGACTCCTGTCCTATTCCTGGTCCTCCACCGGACCGACAATGGAAACACTTCGTGGGTCAGGCGGAGCGGGAAGCGATGGCGTCCGATCCCGGTACAGAGACATTTTCGGTACTATGTTACAACATCCTCTGCGAGCGCTGCGCTACGGAAAGGCTCTATGGGTACACCCCGTCCTGGGCGCTGCAATGGGACTACCGGAAGGAGTTGATCTTGAAAGAGATAGTCAATCACAACTCCGACTTCGTCTGTCTCCAAGAGGTCGATAACGCTCAGTACGAGGAGTACTTCCAGAAGACGCTTGCCGGGCACGGTTATGAGGGTGTCTACTGGCCGAAATCCAGGTTCAAGATGATGAGCGAGAGCGAGCGGCGCTTGGTAGATGGGTGTGCCATCTTCTACAAGTCCTCCAAGTAAGTTATCGTCTGGCATGTTTATAGAGTTGTATGTTCTGATCACAACATGCAGATACACGCTTGTGGAGAAGCATCTAATCGAGTTCAGCGCCGTCGCGATGCAGCGGCAAGACTTCAAGAAGACCGACGACATGTTCAATCGCGTGCTGGGCAAGGACCACATTGCAGTTGTCGCTCTTTTAGAGAGCAAGGAGACGGGGACGCGCTTCATAATCGCGAACACGCATCTTCATTGGGATCCTCAGTTCTGCGATGTGAAGCTCGTCCAGGTTGCACTCCTTGTTGAGGAGGTGGAGAAGATCGCTCACAACTTCGCGAGGTATCCCCCGCGCCTCCCCCCTGCATCATCTTCAGCCGCTGGCTCTGCCCACACGCCGACCGCCGGTGAGAACAACGCCTCGTCGCGCCCACCTCCAGTCTACGCAGACGGGTACAAGATCCCTATCATCGTCTGTGGTGACTTCAACTCCGTGCCGGAGAGTGGTGTGTACGAGTTCCTTTCAACTGGCTCCATCCCGCCGGACCATGAGGATTTCCTGTCGCACGTCTATGGCAAATATACCTCGGAGGGCCTGCGCCACCGCCTAGGTCTCAAGAGCGCATACGCATCCTTGGGAGAGCTGCCATTGACGAACTACGTACCGAGCTTCAAGGGTGCCATTGATTACATCTGGTACTCTTCTGCCAACCTTTCAGTCAACTCGGTCCTTGGCGAAGTCGATCCCGGATACTTGGAGAAGGTCGTGGGCTTCCCTAACGCTCACTTCCCGTCAGAGTACGTCGTCCAGCTGTGTATCGTAGTGGCGTTGATGCTGATGAAAGTGCCGGCGGCGCAGTCACCTATGCATTGTGTCCGAGTTCCGCGTACGTCCGCCGCGGGAGCCCCCGCAAGCGCGTCCACCTCCCGTCTTCCCCGAATCCTCGCGAGCGCATACATAGGGTTACATGGCTGTCCATACGTCCAGTGTATCGCTACCACCCCCTCCATCCTGTCCATATCCCTTCCCATATATTTCATTCTTGTAAATATCCTGCGCTCGTGCGACAGTGCGGCGGCAGCAGCGATCTTCTTACGGAGTCTACACAGCCTCGAACCTCGTCCACCCCTCTTTCTTTATTCCTTCCTCGCGTTCCTGTGGTCTGGTCGTGCCCTTTGGCGTGTGTTTGTGTTATTTTATCTTTGCGTATTCTCCTTCAGCCCCTTTTCGCTCTTCCGTTCCCCAGCGCTCCCGTTGACTCCCCCCTCTCCCCGTTCGTCCCCTGCGTCTCCTCTCGTCGTGTTCGATCGTCTGCTTGCTTTCTCGTACTGGTACCTACATACT